TCCGAGTTCCAGTCTCATTTTCCAGTCACAGCATCAGAGTCGCAGTTGTGTACCATATTCATGACTCCCTGGTCGTTTTTGACAGCAGGAAGCGGTAGGGATATTCCACTAGGTACCCTTAGGGGCTCAAAAAGTCTGTAGAAGTTGTAGGTACCCATAGGGGCTAGAAAGTCAGTCAGTCCAGTTAGCATTGAAGTCCCAGGAAAGTCTGCGGACTTTTGGAAGCGGCAAACATCAGTGTATGGGACCCATAGCCGGTGGAGGAAGTACGGAGGCAGATTGTCAAGTACTGGCGAATTGTGCGAGTTGTCAACATCTAATCACCTGCGCATCAGAATTGCAAGTACGAAAGTTGCGGTGTGGAAGATGTCAACACATATTCACTTGCGGGTCCATGCGTGAGTGCGGCTACATCATTTTAGGATAATGCAATGTGCACTGTTCTTCGGCTGGCAGCAGGTAGTTGGTGGCGCTGGGCGGCATAGATAGGTTGGAAGGGAGGGGAATGAGAGGCAGGGAGGGAGGTATTGAGATAGACGAGACCTTGGATAGAGAGTGAGAAGTGAGTTTGAGGGAGAGGGCAACCATACCTGAGGAAGCATCCCAGTTACCTTACCTGCACCTCTTGTACGAAGACAATTCTATGTAAATGAGTTGGTCGGGGGATAGTATGTGCATTACATCACACTTGTGCTTTGATGTGTGTGTCAGCTTGCCTGAGCATGGCGTGAAAGTGCCGTGCATGGATGGTTGGTCTCAAAAGTATAACAGTATACTATAACTTAAACGTGTTGCCAGATTACGATAGGTCTAAATGGGGTAGGTAGGAAATCGACTCCGGAAGTTCGAGGACTGCGCTCATATTTTGTCTGGCCTGTGCATGGCTTTTAATTGTCAGCAAAGACATGTGAACGTTGCATTATTGTGCAATGCTGACGTGATGATTGTGTCGCTGACGTGGTGAATGCAACATGCCAAGTAACAATGGCTGGGCGCATCAGTGTCTGTGAGCACGGTGTGGTGCTGCTGGTGTGTGATGTGGGGTGGCGAGGGGTGATGGCCCACTTGTGCACCTCTGGCTCATAATTGCATGCAGCATTTGTCCAGAGTTCCCAGGTCAGGATCGTAATGAATGAACAGCCTGCCTAGGCAGTCTTACCGAGTAAATGTCCTGACGTGTCTCGATAGGGAGCGAGGGACTTTTTAATAATCGTTCTTTGACAGCCAAAGGTTTCCGATGTCTTGTATACAACTGCATGAACAGTGCCACCGGATCCAAATGGCCAGAGGTGCCTGGCAGAAAAAAGACAAATGTGCCTCCTTGCAGCTCGTTTTTTCCTCGTGTGCCGGATATCTCAGGGTAGGGAAAGGTCTGGGGGGGTTACTGTCGCATGTAGTATAGATTCTGTATCCAACTGCTTTCACGTCCATAGCAGTTGGATATGTTTTTTTTTTTTTTTTTTTTTATTTGATCGAACTGCCGTGATGACCGCGGCACTGTAAAGGGACCTAGGCAGGGCACAGTCTCACACGTGATGCAGAGTCTGTATCCAACTGCTTTCACGTCCATGGCAGTTTTTTTTTGTTGTTTTCCTTGTTCGAAAGCCTACCACTGTGATGACCATGCAGCTGCAACAGGACCCAAAAGGGCATACTCTCACACATGACGGTTTTTGTTTGTTTGTTTGTTTGTTTTTTAGCTGTACAGTGTACCACCAAAAAAATAGAACGGAACCTAGGCTCGGCGAAACTCTGGGCCGTGGTGAAATTCACGGTCGGCAAAAACAGGATCGGAGGTAGTGGTGGTTTAAGAAAAAGATATTGTAAGGCATGCTGTAGCTGACTTGCCTGTCTCATTTAAACCGCTAGTCCGTCCAAAGATACTGTTCATCCGCTGTCGTATAGGAGTACCTACCCACATTTTTTTGAGTATTGCCCCTGGTCTGTTAGGCCGACTGCCGGTAGAGTGACAGATAAAGAGGAAATGCGAGCCCCAGAATGTCTGTGGGACACCCAGACCTTTCAATAATACAGAGGCTGGTACCGGTATTGTGATCATTTGTCGAAAGGTCACTACTGCTCACTTCTAGGCTTGGCAAAATGCATCTACTACATTCTATTAAAGTTTGAACGGGTATCTCGACTTAGCCCAACCGGATTCTGCCGTGTTGTACATTGGCCGTTGGATACGCAATGCATATGAACGGTAATGGCTGAATTCGAATAGAACTGAAAAAACTTCCCCAACAAGTAAAATAAAAGAACCTAAAGTGGAGCCCGCGTGTCATCCAGAAAGGAAAATGTGAACACACGATCTGTTTAGTTTTTTTCAGGCAACAAGATTGTGGACCCTGTCTTGAGAGTGGGCCTCGCCACAAGCGCACACAATGAAAAATGGACCTAGTGCATCTTCCCACATGAAAAGGAAGGATGCATCCACTTGGTGTATGATACTAGACAATGTATTTTTCCACCTCCTGTGGAGGGGTGCACTTGTTCTTTTGTTATGTGCCATGTGATGCATCCATTTGCTTCATGATACTAGCAAATGTATTTTTTCCACCTCCTTTGCCCGGGTGCATCCATTTGCTTCATAATACTAGCAAATGTATTTTTTCCACCTTTGCGCGGGTGCACTTGATTCTTTTGTTTTGTGTGCCATGCGGTGAGGTCCACTGCTGGCAGAGAGACTGCACTTCGGGAAGCCGGTCTTGTGCGCAGCCCAGACTCCCAAAAAATTGTTTTGCTTCATGGTATGTAGCTTACTGGGCAGTATGGAGCTTAACGGGCGTGGCAAAGTGTGCTCTCTACATTTGCTCGTATCTCTTTCTCTCTCTGCAGTTGTGTGGGCAGAGGTCCGTTCACGACTTCACACTCTATGAAAAAAATGGAATGGGCAGGTTCTGGCAAATTTTGGACTGCACTTGAACCGGCTCACACACAAACACACACACACACACAGAGAGAGAGAGAGAGAGATGAAGACGAATTGAAAGCCCAAGGAGAGGCATGTGTAGGTT